TTAACAAAAAAAAAAACAGTGACAGACAGACAAAATAGGTACCATAACGAAGAAACTTCCAGCTTGAGAAGAAATAGTCCTTAACTTGTTTTAAGAAAGAGTCCCGAGACTGCGCGCGTCTAAATTAATTAAATGGGTAAAGAAATAGAAATTATGAATAAATATTGTAATATCTATATAGAAAGATAAAATAAGGCCGATTTAGCTTCGGCTTAGAGTATTCTCATAAAGACACAGAAAATATATGTCTATTAATCGTGTCTGCGAATGAATTAAATGGATAAACGGGTAATATATTATATATAAGTACGTACTAATATTATTAAGAGGAATACAATACATAATAGGAACTCGACATATAATTAACATTAAAGTTATTAATAAGCATTCTAATAGTAATGTCAAAACAATATATTGACCAGTTTTCTGTACTAATATTATAAAGAGGAAAAAATCGATTATTATTTTTTTTCATCGAAAAGGCTCTGAAACTACTGAAGCGATTTTAAAAATCTTTCACCAATAAGGAGTTGATATAGACTATAATTTACGAGTGAAAAGTTCCGGGAAAACAGATATTTAATAATAATTTAATAGAATGGCTACTTATAAAACCCCGAGAACTACTAAGTAGCGGTCATTAGCTAGTAGGCAGTATAACAATATTATATTACGATGCATAATAAATAACCATCTATATGCTGTAGCAGTAACCCAACATAGTGTACTAGTTTTCGATTGATACAGGATGCTTTTTCACGTTCGACATTGAGACATTGTACAATAGGTTTGTATCTACGTTTCTAATTGCCCGTTCTGACATTGTTTCCCCCATTTGTTGGTGGATTTCACAAAATACCACCTAATTATATCCAATCGTGACGGCTCAGTGTAGGAATCCCCCTTATCATTATATCTATCTATCGTCATATCATTGTGGCATTGAAAACCTGTAAATTTTATGGAGTTTTAGATAGTGTGTTATGATTAAAAGGCGGCTTGATGCTAATCAGGCATGCGCATCGAGTCGAGGGTTCTGCACAAATATTAATCTTAGAATTATAAATGTATACTTACAATATACCAACTTGTTCTTAATTTTTCACGCAGGCTACTCATTAAATCAAACTACTTCTAACTAAAAGGCAATTCTGCTGTTTGCATAACTATGAAAAGTCAATAACGCATCAATTTAAAAGCCTTTATGACACAGATCTTGTTATGAGTTCACAAATAATAAATATATCTGTAACAATTGATTTGTGAAGAAGACAATACGAACTTATACGACTAATACGAAAGTTCAACTTTCATTAGAACCACCAAAGACATAAAAAAGTAACTCTGGTAAAGAAAAAGAAACAGTTCCTAAAAGCTATTTATTTATTTATTGTTTATTTAAATAAAGAAACACAAAAGGGATCTCAATGCAAAAGGCATACTCTCTAGAAAAAATGTTGGAGCCTGAAGTCGTAAGATTTGCAGTAGCCAAAATGTAAATAATTAAAAAAAAAATTAAAGTACAACTGCCAAAATCGAACTAAAAATTAAAGAAACAAGTTGTGTTATGGCTTGGCTAAATTCCATTGCAGTCGGTAGACCGTTCTGTGAAACATTTATAATCTAAGAGGTTTTTTTCTATATTAAGTAATATTAAAAGTTTTGTTTGTTTGCACCGAATGGGTTCCGAAAGTATCGACCCGATTTGAAAAATTCTTTTGCCATTAGAATCCTACACTATTCCTGATGAACATAGGCGGTAGGATATTTAACAAAAATTTTAAAGATCCATTTTTTTTTAATAATCCACTCTGAATTTATGATGGAGGTTTGCTGTTAGTTATATTAACTTGACGGTTATTATGAACTACTTTTAAACTGTAAATAAATTCAGTATTATAATATCTGCGATGTGGAATTCCACTGCCTCCATTCACACAAAATATACATAGCGCCAAACAACAGAAAGTTTCTAACACTGTTCCTAATATAAATACCTAGTAGGTAACTATGACTGTTAATAAGAAATAAATAAATTCAGCTAGTAAAGTCTCATATACAAATAGTATAGTCTCACCAACAAATACATTGGGTCCATGCAGGTTACGGCCCGAGCTCTTTATTATATTCTATCCATAGGTATTTATTATTTTATTTAAATATCGGACAACATCACACTCATTGATCCGATTCCGAGTAAGTAAACTTAGGCACTTTTGTTACGGATATCAGAAACAACGGGGGGAATACAAATATATGCATAATATAAATAGAAAACACCCAGACACAGAACAGACATAATTGTTAATCACAAAAATGTTTGTCCTGGGTGGGGATCGAACCCACGACTCTCGGCGCAATAGTAGGAATGCTACCACCGCGCCATTGAGCCCGCTTCATAATTTTTCACTTTGGATCTATCGAATGAGACAGACATATTTAATATCAAATGGATTACGTCGAGTAATGAGTAAAGTCCCCAAGAGCACATTCATAACTTATAGGTATTTTCTTTTGGTAATTCACCGTGAAGTAGATAATATTAAATATAATTTATAATACGCAATTTGAGGAATATTATTTTTAAAACTGATATGATCTTAATTTAAATCATATACTTACTAAAATTTCAATCGGTAAGGTAAATGCACTTCGTCATCATCAGTTTGGTAGTGTTTCATCATACAATAATCTCTCATCATTAGGACTTGATTTTGTAAGTTATTTTATACAAGCACCACGATATCATCTGCACGAAGCAGGCAGCTAACATCTAAATTCGAAATCCTACTATTTTGATTCATTCCTTTTGATTTTAACCTCTGGAAGTTACTGTTGAGTTAACAATATACATTCGTGCCACGCAGTTCTGCTTGACACCAATATTAATGCGAATAAGGAACCATGTAACAGCACGCATGCTAGACAGTCCTCATAAATGGACTGCGTAGCACGCAACAAGGTCTTAGCAGTGAACCATGTTTTCTCTAGATCCATAAAAGCACCATAGAGTTATTCAATATACCGCTCTATCTTGTGTATAGTTGTAAGAATATTATGGAATATAGGAACTGACAAACAACTTCGAGACCTCTCTACAAAAAAGTTTGATATTTAATTCAAAGTTCCTTGTCTGTTTTCGTCTTATCAATAAAATTAATTTTATTTCAAAATCTTTAAAAATTTGAATCTTTCAAATTTTAAAATAAAATTAGATGAATTAGTCCAACTTTATACGTATTGTCAATTTTTCTGTTTAACGAATGAGTTTTAAGAATTCCGGGCTCTTATTAATAAGTTAGCAATAAGGATAAATAAATAATGCGTAATTTCATCTAAATGGTTCATAATGGTAATTATAATTATTAACAAAACATTTCTCCCTTACGAGCTAAGTCTTGTATATTTCTTCTTCATAAAAATATACTCTCATATTTAATTCAGTGAAGATCGACTGTTTTCTAAGCAAGCCATTTTCGACTTATTTTGTATTCTTATTTTTATAGTATATGCGTACTAGAATCTGATGGAAAATCGGGAGAATTTAATTTGCAGAAAGGTAATATTGGGTAAAAAGGAACAATATTACCTTCTGCAAATATCAAACATAATAAATATACAAATGTACACTTTATATCGACGCTTAAGAACCAAGACCATCTATCTGGCGATTTTTCATGGTTAATTTACATATCTTTTTCTTTAATCGATTATCTCAAATTCGCAATTAAAATACCAATAAGATGTCGTAATAATTGTAATACCACCTTTGTTCTGTGTAGAACATGTAATTACTTCTGTTTGTTAACTAAATTCTTATTTTGGCAGAAGATTCTTACTTTAGGTGCCTACTTTATATAGACGGAGAACTCGTGACTAAAATTTGCAAGAGCTTTCTAAACCTTGGTATTAGTATGTTGAAGTTGATACTAAGGGTAAACATCACGCGGAGGTCAGGCGCTGGAACACCTGATGGCGTTGAGCGGCGCAAAACTAACTTCCAGCAATTAATATGTTTGTTCTATTAAAGTCTCAGTATTTTTATCTACTAATTATTTATAATTTAGCAATTAAAAGATGTGCTACCAAAGAATTGTTACCCATTTTAAGATTCGTTAGCACTCATTACATTTTGCCTAAACCTTTTTTGTTTTAAAATATAATAAAACTATAGGTTTTTTGTTTTATTTAAGTTTTTAATCTACCTTATTTCAATAATTATTTTTACAATTCCAATACAATCTATATTACAATTAGCTGCATAAATATACGCAAATATTTTAACAAATGCTAGATATCTACAGTAATTTTGAAACTAATAAAAAATTCTCGAAATACACGTAAACACCTTATTTCCCATGCCTATGTATTAAATGATCAGATATAAAAATAAAGACACTCGTTGTAGAAAAAAATGATACGTTTTCTCGTCCCGTGCATAATCGACTTTTTGTAGATAGATCTTATTTCTTAAGCATCGATATGATCAACATCTACTGTATTGATTGGACAGCATCTGACCGAACAGAAATACTCAATAATATAATTCCTGACTCGGAGTCCAACACGAATAAACAAGAGAAGCTTTACTTTATGTATTTATTTATTGCTAATCTGCTAATATTTTTTTTCTATTCACCGTTCCTATTTTTCCCCGGCGTAGAAAATGTCTTCATATCTTCTCCTTCACAAATAATTCGTTTTATGTTAGTAGTCGACACACCAACGAATAATTAAAAATAAGTAGCAAGACTAGTCATTGCTAGTTACCGGGCAAGTCATACAAATTTTGCTATAACATTAATAACTATATTTCTTGCCATTAATATTTTCTCAATTTGAGTAACTGTAGATAGTTGTTTTAGTACCTAAAAATCTTTAGTGATTGTTTAGTAAAATTATTTTAGTAAACCTCGTTATTGAGTTGTAATAAGTGCATTTACCTTACTAAAATTTCCTGCAGCTTTATTAAAGATTATCACGTATGTTTTTGATTAGATTACAGTTTGCATATATACCCTTAGTTCAGTGATGGAGTTAATTCAATCACGAACAAATATGCATGTATTAATTGCTCTAGTTGTGATCCTGGCTGTTGCTGCAGGTAAGACCAATCTTAAATAATGTATTTGTAAATTTTATACGAGTAGTTTAGTGGGGTAGCGCATAAGCGCAGCGGCGCTCAGTCGTATCCGAAACTATAGGCGTGTAGATTTTTTGTCATTTTTTGTCAAAAAGTCCTGTCCTCATTGCTAGTACACAAACCATCTCTAGGAGTGGAACTCCCTGCCAGCCAGCGTCTATATTCCCGTAATCCAGGCCTATTCAAGGCAAGAGTGAATTGGTTCCTTCTAGGAAATCTCGTCCCATTACACTAGTCCTTGTGATAGATCAATGTTAAGAGTGAGCCTATTATATAAATAAAAAGGGGTCTGATCAAACAGAGAACACGGTCAATAACCAACCAGGTGGACATATTTCTTATTGGTGGGTGTAAACGACTGCAAATGTAGCCAATACCAATGATTTCCACATCGCTAACGGAACGCTTAAACCACTGCACCATCTAATCTTCCTCTCAGCCATCTTTCAAAAGATACGATTAATTGCTTAGTTTGATTGTATACTTTAACTGTATTGCTATATTATCAAGTTTCTGATTTATTATATTCTAGGTGAATCGAAAAATCTTCAGAGGATCGTAGGTGGCACCGTTGCGTCAATCGGGGATTATCCAGAGATAGTCGCTCTATTGTTCTCCTATGGAAATACTGGACACACACAAACATGTGGTGGTGTCATCCTTAATAACAGATCCATTCTCACTGCTGCTCACTGCACCATGTAATTTAATATTAATATATTTATAATTGTTTTATATTTTAAATCTTATTTTATGTTTCTGATTTATTTAGGACTTCTTACTTCATAAATGATATATACTCCACGACCACAGAATCCAGCTTCGAATTCCATTACAGGCACCTGAGAGATCCTTTTATAATATTTGAAATATATTTTCAATTGTTTAGGAAGAATTATACAATGTTTAGGACATTGACAAAAATGTACTCACAAAAGAATTTGCATGAGTTTGACAGTCTCGTCTAAGTATCAGGTAGATAACCAGGATATCTTGATTTTTTTAAGTTTTAAAGATGTAAATTTTTCTATTAGTCTATTTACTTGTATGAATTTACAATTTTACAATTCCTTACTATTAAACAACTCGAAAAGCAATAAATATTCCAGCACCTTGGTCAACCTTGTATTTAATATATGTTACTATATTTTTTATCAACAGTGACCACGCACCAGCAAGGTGGCAAACTCGTGCTGGATCTGCCGATGCTACTACTGGTGGTACTGTCTACCTTTCTTCCTATATCATCAACCATGGACTCTATGACCGCGTTACATTTGACAACGATATATCTATCATTCGCACTGCTACCGGCATAAATTTTGGTGCTCATATCCAACCTGGAAGTTTTGCTGGTACTGGTTATATTCTCGAAGACAACCAAGTGGTATGGGCTGCTGGTTGGGGAGCTACTACTGTAAGCATGCCTTAAGTTTACTAGTTGTAAATTATATAAGTAATATATATTACATTAACTTTATTTGCTCAGTTATAGTCATAAGAAATTTAAGCTATTCATATATTAATCTAAAGTTAGTAAAATCCGCAAGGAACTTTCTATTTTTAGTAATATTGTCAATGGATATTAATAACTAAAATAAATACACACTTCATTACTCTAAAGCAATTATTTTGTCTTTGTGTTTCAGCAATACGGGCCGTTATCTGCTGATTTGCAACACGTCCAAGTATGGACCGTGAACCAAGCTATCTGCGCGGCTCGTTATGCAGAGATAGGTCGTACCGTCACCACCAACATGTTGTGCTCCGGGTGGCTCGACTTTGGTGGTCGCGACCAGTGTCAAGGCGACAATGGTGGACCACTATATCACAACAGAGTTGTCGTCGGCGTTTCATCGTGGCGTTGGGGATGTGCTCAGCCTCGTTTCCCTAGTGTCAACACTCGCGTTTCAAATTACATTTCTTGGTTACAAGACAATGCTTAATATGTATGCTACGTGAATTAATACAATATGCAAACATGTTATTGACATTTGTTAATAAATAAAATAGGCACATTATGCTTTTTTTTTATTAAAGTAATAAAATATTTCATTATCGATCACAATCCCTTTCAATATGATATTTGAAAGTTATTCACGAACTTCACGTTACAAATATTTGATATGTGATAACTATTACGGTCGTGACGTTTTTTGAAAGATTGTGAGTGAACGAACGATATATATAAAGAAATCGCAAATTTATCGTTAATTGTCTAAGGTAAGCATTAGACGTATTTAATGTGTCTTGATCATTCAGGCATTCAAATTATCATTTGTTCTAAAAGCGACTGCGGCTTCAGAATTTCACAATCGCTATACCTTAGATACGATAGATTTCAATATTAGACAAGTAGGCCACAGGGCCTTAGATTTTGACAACGATCAGTAGTTCAATTCACGTAATTATGAACAATCCAAATAAAGCTGAAGTTTATAAACTGTTCGATCGAAGACCTAACAATTGAACTCAACTCGATATTATCAAAACTCAACGACTCATCAATCGAAAACCTATTAGAGTTGCCAGTAAGATTAATCTGTATGCTACCGTGCTGCTTAAACATGTTTTTAAAATAAATAGGGAGATTTATAACATGATAATCAAATTCTACTTAAGAATAAAACTTTATCTAACTAAAAATTTGAAAAATGAAATAATAAATATAAAATAAAACTTAATATTTGGCAGAGTTAATATGAAATTGTTTGTGAGCGACATTTATATGTCGAATGTAAGAAATATTTTCATCTGTTTGTTTTTGAATCTATTTACACGATGCCCCCAATATCTCGTTAGTTAGGCGTTAGGCCTTTACACGTAAAGAGACAACAAAATTATATACCCTTTATATACCTAAATAAATTATATATGAAGTATTAACTATTCGTAGTTAGTAATCAATATGGCCTTTATCTACTTAGTTTAGAATTTGTGCAACGCACGTGATGTTTAATATCTATCTCCATTGAAGTAAAAACAAGTTTTATATATCGACGGCCGCATCGAACAAACGTACAAGTGAAAAAAGTCAACTTTACAGGAAAAAATAAAAACTATATTATTATATTACATCAATTTCGCATTCACAATGCCATACTGAAAAATATTCTCATGAAAAATATTCTGAATGAACCAAGTGGTTTTTATAAACATTTTTAAATAAGAATAAAAACGATATATCAAAAAAACCGTTAAAAAAAATACAATTTTTGACAATGTGAAAGATAGAAAAATAACCTTTTGATAGAAGATATGATAATATAAAAAACAAAATAAGAAAATCAGAAATATTATGCGAAAAACCATTTAGCCTGAAGCATCAAAGCCTTTAAATGATCCCACTGCTGAGGTACATGCTTTCCCTATGAATGTAATTGAATAGAATAGGCAATGACCCCATCACGTTTATCGACTGCAGATACAACCAGTTCTAACAGCTTAACGTGACTTTCGATATACGGAGGAACTCAAGATATTTTTTTATACTCACCCATCCTATGAGCGGCCCTACAAAAGTTACTTAACTTCTGATTGCAAACCGTAAATGCTAACCATTGTGCCATCTAATTCCTGTACCCAAAGTCAATCTTAATATGTTACAGAAAACGTATAAATAACATATCCCAATAAAGTTAAGGTTAACCTTCAACAAAATTCACTTACATTAAATCTAAACAAAACCAAATATCTTACCTTTTCGAAATTAAGTCGCCTTCAACCGATAGATATGCAAATTAAAGCTCATAATTGTTCATTATTGATAAACTCCATACCCTGTTCATGCACCACATTTAAGGTTGCCAGATAGCAAGACTAAAATATCTGGAAAAGATTTGAGAAGGTCGGGATTTTGGGATCACGGTCGGGACAAAAAAATACTAATAACAAAAACCAGTTTTTATTAATTAAATTTTAAAATAATAACAAGTATCTACTTTTTTGTAATTTTATAAGATCACATTATAAAAGCATAACATTTAAACAGCTAATATACTTACTTATTATATTTTTATGAAATGTGTGTTATTTATTTTTTACACTTGGAATACGATTTTACAGAATGTAATAATTTTGTCGGGACATATTTCTTATTTTCGGGACTGTGGACATCATACGAAATGTCTGGACAATCCAGACGAATCCCGACCATCTGGCAACCCTACACATTAGAACGAGCAACGACTATGTAATATTTGGGTATTAACATAGATTCTATAATGTCTTGGAAACACCAAACTGAAATACTTAGTAAAAGAATCCGCAAACTTATATTTGTATTCAAACGACTAAGAACTGCCGCCGACTTACATGTCTTAAAAATCACTTACCTCGCTTCATGTAACCTATTGCATTACATCTTGGGGTGGTACTTATAAAACGTATATGATGAAAATCGAAAGAGCTCAAAGGGCGGTACTCAAATTTATTATGTTCAAGCTCTATCGATACCCGACAGAGCAGCTTTACATAAAAGTGGGTGTACTCACAGTAAGAAAGTTATTTGATCTTAACACTATAGTTTATACTCATACCAACATTTGCTACAACCCAAAAATAGTTGTAAATACCAGAAGTAAAGATAGAGTTTTTAAAAATCATATAAAATATTCTTCTTTCGCTCAGCACCATCAACTCTTCATTGGTCCATTCATTTATAATAAAATAAATTGTATACTTGATATTTATTCAATGACTCGCTTCAAATGTAAAAAAGCAGTAACGGATTTTTTACGGTTAAAAACGTACGAGGAAATTGAAAATCTTATTAAATCCCCAATATAGGAAAAAATATTTCATTAATTAATTATTAAACACACCAATTCCCTATATAAATACACAGTTCAGTTTATGTTTGACGAACACACGCACTCACACACACACACGCACACTACATACACACATACATACATTACATACACACACAAACGCGCGCGGGTACATACGCACACACACGCACGCCTTTATATTGTTGCTCTTAAAATTATTAACAATTTACAAAATGTATACTAAATAATAACAAGTTAATGATTCAGTGGTGGGGGGCCAAAGCTATCAAACAGGGTATCCTAGTACAGGTTTCGCTCTCTCACGATGGCTACAACATTTATAAATTAGCTTTAAGTCTAATGAAATTACATGTTTGAAGATAGTATGTAGCTATTGTGACAGAAATAAAGTGATTATTATTATAATCAACCCACAAATTTCATTCCTTTAAATTATAAATAACCGACCATACGGGGAAACCCCCTAACTGAAAGAGATGAATTGAATTTTTTATAACTCGGAGCATACACCGCTTTGTAAACTCGGCTTTCAGAATTAAAAGAGCTGTGTTGAAATCAACGTTTAAATTAAATTATAAGGATGGAAAAGTTTTCTGTTCTGAGCCGTTTTAGACAAATTTTCATTAATCAAGTTAATTAATTATTTTCAGTGAGCTTTATTTTGAGGAAATGAAAAGTCCATCATAAGGAAATTATAAGATGCTATTTACTTCATGTCTTCATAAGTTTTGAGACGAAATAAAAGTGGCGTAACATTTTTAATAAATAACTTATATTTCTAAAATGTTCAGTAACCATTAAATAGATAATAATCAACAATAAAATATATATTTTATTCAAAATGACTGCCCTTGTTTTTAATACAGGCCCTTAGACGATTTGGCCAGTCATCAACGGCTTTTCTAGCAGAATTCGCTTTGCTTCTCGAACAAGGGTTCGCTTCAGTGACTCCAAGTTTGGGCGGGACTTTCGGCAGGCCCTGAGCTCTAATTCAGTCCATATAGAATAATCCAGCGGATTGAGGTCGGGGCTAGAGGAGGGCCACTCGTCCGCCACGATGAAGGCCGGCACATTCTCCCTCAACCAAGCTTGGGTGCTTTTTGCCTTATGGGATGGCGTCGAGTCTTGCTGAAAAACCCAAACCTTATTGTGATATAAAGTATCAGACAGGGGTTTCACCACGGGCTCTAAAATGTCACTTTGATAATTTTTTATTATCACCTTAACACCTTTTTGGCAGAAATGGAGCGAAATGACACCTTTATACAAAACTCCCCACCATAACATCACACTAGCCAGAAGATGAGTGCGCGAGACATTCTGTGCATAAGCTGGGACATCCTTGCTACTTTTAGCGTACACTTTATTGTTTTGTCGGTTGAACTTTTCTTCGGCAGTAAAAATTTTCTCGTCAGTGAAGAGTATCTTCCTGGCATCATGTCTCCTCAGCAGCAATGGACAACGTTCGTCTCGTAACTTACGAAGACGATCGTTTAAAAAGTGAACTTTTCTACGGCTAAAGGCCTTTACCTTAAGATCATATTTCAGTATCCTTTTCAAACGCGCGAAATATTAGTTTGCAGAGCGAGTTTCTTCTAAGTGCGACATGGGTTTCAGTGAAGTTGCTCGCGGATGATTTTGATGTTCGCAGGCGTCCTCACAGAGCGAGGCCGACCACTTCTTTGGCGATCTTGCAGATAACCCGTCTCTTTGTACCGCTGTATTGTGTAATAGACGAAGTTACGGCTTACAGGAAACCTTTTTAGTTCACGGGTCGGTTTTTTTCCCGCCTTAAATAGCGAAATGTCAGTTGCATGTAATTGTTTCGTTCCCTCCATCACGAGAAAATATAAACAAATAAATTCCCGATACAAATAAACTAAGAGAATTCTTAATGAAAAATTAAGAATATTTTCTGGATATTGATGAAAGTGCGTTTACTTGTAGCGAAAAAGAAATAAGTGCTTGAAAAATCCGTCAGTCCTGGTAGGTCTTGGGTGTTAGAGCAGTCGCCCGGTTTGCGAAAGGTCGTGGGTTCGAGTCCCATCTCAGAGTACCTGGGGTTTAGTGGATTTTTTAAGCATTTTTCATTAAGACTAAGAATTTTGAATTCATTTTAATTTAGCAATAGTTGTGTATAACTGCGACTGGTGACTGCGAATATGGGCTACATGATAGTGGAAAGTTACCAAAAGTTGAACAATATCCTAAAAAAAGGATAAAATTCCAACCTATATTATTCTTTATTAAAAAAAAATTAAATAAAAAAAAGCCAGGTGGAATATGAATGCAGATAACGGATTTGTGGGGATTTTCCAAATTTAAGTAAGTACAGTTTA